GAGGGGGGGCGGGTCGCCACCCGGGTACGGGCTGAGGCGGGAGATGGGCGGGTTGTGCCGCAGAGACACCCCCCCCCGCCGCCGCTCCTCGCCCTCCCCGGGGCAGCCCGCGGGGCCGGGGCCTTCAGGCCTCAGCCCTGCAGCCCGGGGCTGACCTCGGCTCCTCTAACGGGCGCTCACGGGGGGGTCCGCGTCGATTTCAGAGCCCTGCGTGCCAAGCAAGATCTGTTCTGTTACTGTTTTATCTCAGAAAAATATTTTATGATGCACAGGTCGTGCCAGATACTGAAAGACATGCGTGATTAGGAAAAGTCTAAATATCTGAAGAAATTAATAAAGCAGGTCAGCCTATATATAGGGACTTGATATTTAAATCTACCATAAACTTTCTTCTGAGTCACTCATGCACTGGTGTATCTTGGAATCATTCAGCTGCCTTATATTCACTTCAGAGCTGCTGCCCACGTTCCTGTCAACAGTATTCCCTTAGTTCCCTCTTCTCCTGAGGAGTGGCAGTTTTTATTAGCTAGAGTCAGCTGTTGCAGGAGTAACAGTGCCCCTCACTAACTCATCTTGCTTAGTAACCTTCTGTTTTCCTGTGAGGAGAATACTGCCTGGAGATCTTAATGAATTAAACCCGGTGATCCTTGGTGATCTTTCCACATTGGTGCTTTTTAAAGCCTTTCAATGTTTGGACGCTTCTTTCCTCAATTGAGGAAAGGCATAGTGAGGGGACATAGCCAGCAGATGTCATGTGGGGCTTTTTCTGATTTCTTATATAAATGGAGTTACTTAAATAAAGTAAAATAGAAAATATTTACCTAATCTATAACAATAAAAGTGGACACTGATATGTAGAAATTTAAGGTAAAGTCAGTCTAGAAGATTCCACGTTAACTGCAGAAAATCAAAATTAATTAATTAAAACCAAAGCATAAAGTACTAAGTGAAATATTTTTTCTTTAGGTTAAAAGTTGAAGAAGCCAAAGAAGTTCAGAGCCTCAGAAAGCGGCCCAATGGGGTGAGGTAAGGGATGTACCACCAAGGCTGTGTAGTAGCGTTTTGTCCGATGGTGTAATGTAGCAGTAAATTTCTCGTCACGTGCTTCCTTTCAGTCAAAAGTGTTATATGTCGGATAGTGCCAAAACCATGCTCTCAATAGAGGAGTTCCTACATTAAAGCCTGAGAAAGGAAAAGAGGGGAAGTTTGGTACAGGTGCACTGTGTCAATTTACAACAAGCAAAGTCTGTTCTGTATCCTAGCCATGAAGAAAAAGATTAAGATTGGGATTTACCATTCAATGTATATTCAACAAATTACTGTTCTACTAAACAGTAAAAGGTTTAAATTGGACTCTTTCACACCTCCTCTGTCCTAATTCCCCTCTCCCCTCTCATCTGGTGCCACTGATTAGCTGATGACCTTGTTGAAATGTGCACCAGCAGTGAACTGTGTCCCTTATTTTAGTTACAAGACACTAAAATCTGCCTTAACTTCTCATTTCCCCAAAACAGTAACAGTTCCTCTATACATGTGGAGTGATCAGGAAGACTGTCAATTTAGTATTAATACAGTGTGTGAGGCTGTGCTAGATTTAGAGAAGGATAAAGAAACACAGTATTGTTGGTAATATGTTTCTTTCCACTGAATTTTATTTACTTTATCTGCTCAACTAGTGCTGTGGCTCTGCTTGTGGGAGAGAAGTTGCAAGAAGAAGCAACGCTTGTGGTAAGTGCTAGACACTTTCATCACCTCAGCACTACGATGTAATGATGTGAAAGTGGGAGTATGGCCTGGAGTAGGACTGGTGTCCCAGCTCAGTATTTATACATTTTCTCTGGTTTTATCCAGATTTTGAAGACTAGCATTAAACTAGAGGGAAGCTTCAGGGTTTCTCATTATTTCTTCTTTTACAGGATGACCCATTTAAGATAAAATCAGGGGGAATGGTGGACATGAAGAAACTGAAAGAAAGAGGCAAGGACAGGTAGGTGCATATGAGCTCTGAAAATCTCTCCCTGGACTAGTATTAAATGGCAGCTAGTAATGAAGTAACCAACCGCATTTGTTGCTTTGAAGAGTTTAACTTTTGGCCAGATACTGTTACTCTAACTTGTCAAATTATTTAAATTATAAAAAAACCCCAAAACCAAACAACCCAAAACTGTAAACATTGTGGCTTTCATTCAGGATTAATGAAGAAGAAGATCTAAACTTGGGAACTTCCTTCTCAGCTGAAACCAACAGGCGGGATGAAGATGCTGACATGTAAGCTGTGCTGCATTGTGTCTGGGATGTTGAATTTGGGGTTGGGTGTCCCCTCACAATTACATTTTTTCTGTCTTGGATACCAAGTAGTCCAGTGACTAATTTCACTTGCTCTTTCACCTCCTGGCTGCCAGACTTGAGAAGGCTTTCTCATGGACAAAGATGGGAGGTGCCAGCCAGCTAGCTTGGCATTAAATACCAGTGGGAGCTTTCCCTGCTCTTGTGAAAGCGCTTGGAGGATCTGGTTGTTTCTTGGACAATTGCTTCTTGCAGTTGATGTTAGCTGAGTTGTCCTGGAGAGATTATTCATTCCTCTCTCCTAGCTATCAGGACAGTCATGCAGCTGTGCCCAGCAGTACTGGGACAGAGTACAGAAAACAGAATTAAATGCTATGTGTCCCTTGTATGCTGCTGTTTAGGATGAAGTACATTGAGACGGAGCTGAAGAAGAGAAAGGGAATCGTGGAGAACGAGGAGCAGAAGGTGAAGCTTAAGAATGCCGAGGACTCTCTATACGAGCTGCCAGAGAACATCCGTGTCTCCTCTGCCAAGAAGACTGAGGAGATGCTGTCCAACCAGATGCTGAGCGGCATTCCTGAAGTGGACCTGGGAATTGAGTATGTGGTTCACAGATCTGTTGGTTAGGGCCTGGATTGCTGGGATGAACAGGTGCTGATTGGCAGAGCTGCGGAATGGCTGCGTTGTACAGCCCTGGTTTGGCTCTGTGAGTGGGACTGAGCCTTGTTCTGGATTAATGCAGGATCTAGCGCAGCATGTTCCACACAGGGATAGGGCTCCAGTGCAGCTCCATCATGTGACTTCTGGGAAGAGGCTCTTGATTTTTGTGACTTGAATCTAGCAGATTTCTGGAGGATCAGTTTGTGCCCCACGCCGAAAGAGGATGCACTAAGGATGTGAGCTTTCCTTTTGCCTTTGAAGCAAAGCATCTATTTCTATAGCATTGCCTTCTCTCTCAAAAAAACACAGCAAACACCATAGCAGTGCTATTACTGTCTCCAAAATCCATCCACCTAGCATTTCTATGCCCACTACCCTTTCTAAATATTTTTTTCTTTTGTCTTTTTTCTAGCGCAAAAATAAAAAACATCATCTCAACAGAAGAGGCCAAGGCCAAGCTGCTGGCAGAGCAGCAGAACAAAAAGAAAGACAGCGAAACTTCCTTTGTTCCCACCAACATGGCTGTTAACTATGTCCAGCACAACAGATGTAAGTCTCATGTAGCTCTCCTGACCCAGGTGTGACCCTCTCCCCTGCTGAAGAAAAGCAGTCAGTTGGGACAGAGTCTGATGCAGGAGGAATTAGTTCATGTATCAGCGCAAGCAGCTGCCTGATTCCTTTTTCTGGGACACTCATATAGACCCCATCTGGCTTGGTCTTTTTCATGCATCTGTCAGCATGGAGAAGGACATATTACTCACGGATTGACTTTCTGCTCTTGAACTCCCAGCTGACACTGCCTCATAAATTCCAAGACTTTGTGTCTTAAGCATGTGCTGGAAATGCCTGCCTTGACTACAATTCTAAATGATGGTTTATAATTGAGAGAATCCATTTTGTAGGCTGCCAAAGCAGACAGGCGGTCAAGCAAACATAGACCTTACTAGACAGGAGATGGGAATTAATTTCCGGGAGAGCCTCTCATACCGCAGCCATCTGGAGGAAAGGCAGCCTTCTGCTGTATCAAACCATGCTTACAGGCATGGTTTGGAGTTAAATTTGTGTGTTCTGAAGGAAATGAGTCTTTGGGCCACTTCTGATGAAATAGTGCTAATGAAATTTGCTGTCTCCCATCTTATGTGTATTGATTATCCATAGAAACCAATTACAAGAATGTTTGTTCTGTTATTTCTGCTAAAGATCACTTGTAACAAATGTCACAGAAATACATCCGTTTGAATAACACTGCTCCAGATAACACTTCTTATCCGATGGTTTCCTCCTTTCAGTTTATCACGAGGAGTTAAATGCACCTGTGCGAAGGAACAAAGAAGAGCCAAAACCACGTCCACTGAGAGTGGGGGATACGGAGAGGCCAGAACCTGAGCGTAAGTTCCAAGTCTGTAATGTCATAAGGACAGTCAGTGAAACTTTTCAGGGGTTTTGCACAGAGAAATCATGCACTTCTTCTTGCCTCCTCTTCTCTTGGTGCCCTGAGAGAGTGAGGAAATGGAGCAATCTAAGTCCATAAGAGGCTGATTGCACTTGATATACCCCTACTAGGTCACACATGGAGCCCTCTGGATGGAAGATGTCTAGAGATGCCCATGGGTGAAGTAGCAAAGGTCACAACTGAAGTGTGTTGCCAAAGTTGTCTGACAAGGATTTGATGAAAGCTGGGATAGCAAGGGGTGCAAGGTTGGGGTGCATTAACAGCTAAAGCAATAACCTTTCACACAGCGAGGAGCTGTATAAGGGAAGTGTTGGAGTTAAGGAAATGTCTCCTGTGAAAGGACAGGGAAATAGTATTTCCTTCTGTTTCTTTTGAAGGGCCTCTTCCAAATTACAAATGTTCAGCCAGTGAAAATGCCACAAATGATTATCATTATGAGAAATTCAGGAAGGTGAAAGGACAGGAAATAATATTTCCTTCTCTTTCTTTTGAAGGGTCTCCTCCAAATCGCAAACGTCCACTCAATGAAAAAGCAACAGATGATTATCATTATGAGAAATTCAAGAAGATGAATAGGCGATACTGATGGATGTGGACTGAAGCCTTTGCAGTTGTTCTTCCACTAATAAAGGATTTTGTGTCAATGACCTGAAATGAAGCTGGGGAGAGTCACAGCCTTCACATGCTGGCGTTACCTACAAAGCTTTTCTTGTGATCTTGTAGTGAATCAGTTTGCAGGTGATTGTGAACTCTGGTCAGTAAAATCTTGTATATAACTTATTTTCAGTTATAAACCTTCTTTTATAAGAACATGAGCTTCCACGCTTGGCATTTTTTAGTGAGAAAACAAAGTTGCTTATACAGATATTTTTTCGCCCTCTTAAAAAACACAAAGAAAAAAAGAGATCCTTTGAAAGCAGCAGTGCTGTTTGCCTTGTAAATATAAAGGGAAGATTTAAAGCCGGTTTGTTTGAATGTAATTGTGTTAAAAGATTTCCTCTTTGTTCCCAAGGGCCTTTGCTGTGCAGAGGGTGTAAGGCTGAGATGCTGCAGTGGTGTGTCAGTGCTGCTGCTCCACAGCCTGGCTTGTAAGTGCTCCAGGAGAAACTGTGGTGTGGGCTGTGCCTGGCACGGCCTCGCTGGGTCTGTCATCAGCACAAGAAACAACAGCAGAGACCCAGCGCTGAGGATTTTACATCATGAGCCATGTTCTTTTGTATCTTTTTCTCCCTGTAGAGTTACGTCTGTAGCAGTTCACTGCACTTAAAAATTGGATCAAGTTGTAACTGTTGGAGGAAAATCTCACTTTGCGCTCTTAGGACAAGGTCAGTAGGGCAGCTGGTGAAGAGCCCCGAGGCCCTGCAGCCAGTGTGTGCCAAGTCTTCCTCAGAGGTGTGATCCGTGGGTACTTGCAGGCGAGATTTAGAACCTTAAAAATAATAAAAGTGTTTTAAAATTATTGTAAATTACATTTTTCCCCGTGGGATACCCACCAATGGTTTCTGGGTGCTGGTGGTAATGATTGCCAGGGTATCCTGTGCTGTTCAGGTGTCCATGTCCTGTCGCTTAGAAGTGGAAGCTCCAGGGACCGGGGGGAACGGCCTCAGATTTTACTTTTCTTCGGAAAACGGCACAATTCTCTGGGCCAGATAAATGCACGAGTTTGTTTCGGAGCCTGTGCCGCTGTGCAGGTCTGAGGTGGCATTTCCCCTGACTACCTGGAACGTCGCGGGGCGCGGGCGGTGTTTAGGGCAGTGCGCCGCGCGAGGCCGCCATTTAGCTAACGACCGCCCGGGCGGGCGGCCCCGCGCTGCCCAGCCAACATGGCGGCCGCCCG